GCAGTTCTTGCAGCAGCAGCTCCCGCCGCCGCCGCCGCTGCTGCTGCTGCTGCTGCTGCTGAATATTCGCTGCCCCCCTGTGCCGCATGCAACGCATGCAGCAGCAATCCAAGTGCAAGGATCTGCTGCTTCCAGATTTGGCACTGCAGCAAACCCTCGAAAAGCCACGCCCTCCAGCAGCACGGGGGGGCTTGGGCCTCGTGTCGCTTGCTGCGCGCAGCAGCAGCAGCAGCAGCAGCAGCAGCAGCAGGGGTGAGAGCAGCAGGTGCGGCCAAAGCGGTACCAGCAAGGAACGCCTACACGAGTAGCAACGCGGCAGCAGCAGCAGCAGCAGACGCGATAACTGAGGCAGCAGCAGCAGCGGAAGCTACGGCAGCAGCAGCAGCAACAGGTCCTGCAGTAGCAGCTGACCAAAACCTGAAACAGTAGCAGCAGCAGCAGCAGCAGCAAAGGCACCGGCAAGAGCAGCAGCAGCAGCTGGCGCGACAAACGAAGCACGAGCAGCAGCAACAGCAGCAGCAACAGCAATAGCAGAAGCAGCAGCACCTCAACAGCAATTCGCGAGAGATCTCTGCAAGTGCGAACAGCAGCAGCAATGCCTCTGTGCTGCTGCGGGGGCCCAAAGGCAAACCAAACAGAAGGGGATCCCCGTTGCTGCTGCTGCAGCAGCTGCTGCAGCTCTTGCTGCTGCTGCGTCGGCATCAGCTGCTGCTGCTGGTCCTGCTGCTGCTGTTGATCGCTCTGTTGCCGATTCGGGCCGCTAACGCAAGCTGCCCAAGGGCTTTGCTGCATCTGCTGCTGCTGCTGCTGCTGCTCGCGTTGCTGCTGCTGCCGCTGCTGCTCCAATTGCTGCTGCTGCTCCATCCCGTGCTCCCGCTGCTGCTGTTGCTGCTGCGGTTCGACCTGCTGTTTGTGCGCCTGTTGCCCAGCTTTCTGCGTTTGCTGTTGCTGCTGCTGTTGCTGCTGCTGCTGCTGCTGCTGCTGCAGCGATGATTCCACATAGGCATCTGCAACGCTGTCTTCTGCTCGCTCTTGCTGTTGCAAGTTCTGCTGCTGCTGCTGATGCTGCAGAAGCTGTTGTTGTTGCTGCTGCTGCAGAAGCTGTTGTTGCTGCTGTTGCTGCAGAAGCTGCTGTTGCTGCTGCTGCTGCTGCTGCTTAAACTGCTGCAGCCTCCGCTTTGCATCTCTTAGTAAGGCCCGCCTCTCCACCACGTCGGCGCACCACAAGGGCAGCCGCGTCAGCTGCAGCAGCAGCAGCAGCAATTGCAGCAGCAGCAGCAGTTGCAGCAGCAGCAGCAGCAGTTGCAGCAGCAGCAGCACTTGGCTCCTTTGATTTTCTCTGCTTGCGCGTTTGCTGCCTCGCTGCGCACTGCGTGTTCGCGTAGCAGCTGCGCAGGGTTTAGGGTTTAGGGTTTAGGGTTTAGGGTTTAGGGTTTAGGGTTTACCTGGGCCCTTTCAGGGGCTGTCCAGCCAAGAGCAGCTAAGTTGCTGCAGTCTCCTCCTTCTAAGCTGCTTCTGCTGAAGGAGACATTTCGGAGACGCAGCCATTCTCCTTGCTGCAGCAGCCCGTTGCTGCTGCTGCTGCTGCTGCTGAGGTGCTGCAGCAGCAGCGCAGCAACAGAAGC